GTTTTCCCGTCTGTTTTACGAATTTTACCACAGGAACGAAAAAAAACCCAACCAACAGTTTAAAAAAAAAAGAGAAAACCTGACTCTGCACCCATCACTGCACCTCCAATCTCAACAACCCCCAAAAACACAGCTAAGACAGCACCATAGGGCAACTCAGAAGAAAGATCAAGTCTCTCTTCTGTTTCCTTGGTTACTGTCAATACTCCAAGTCCTTATTCTGAACCTGGTATTACCAGTGGCTGGTGTGACTGCTGAACATCAGTGCACTAGAGCTAAAATCAACACAGACCGCAAGCGCTGACCTCTTCCCTCTGAAGTTCTGCCTAATACTTTGTATTCAGCTGAAGCACATTTTCAAAGGTACCAAATCCAACCCCCAGACCAGCAAGAGATGGAGAATTTAATCAGTTACTGTGGCAATACATCCAAAATGCGCATCTGCTTTTTAATTTGAACGTGTCTGCCATTGCACTTCTGGTCATTTGTTCTGCTTTTATTAAACAATTATCTAAAAATACCTTTCATTAAGACTATTACTAGCCAGTACTTGGTGACCCTTAGGCTGAGGCTCTTGAGCTTGGAGCAGAGGAGACTGAGGGGTGCCCTCATTCCTGGGGATCCATTTAAAAGGGCAGTGTCAGGAGGAAGGAGCCAGGCTCTGCTCTGGGATGTCCAATGCCAGGACAAGGGGCAATGGTCCCAAGCTGGAGCACAGGAGCTTCAAGCTGAAGATGAGGCCAAAGTTTGTGAGTGTGAGGGTTCTGGAGCATGGCCCAGGCTGCCCAGAGAGGTTGTGGAGTGTCCTTGTGTGGAGACACCCAAAGCCCTGGCCGTGTTCCTGTGTGACTGCTCTGGTGATCCTGCTCTGGGGGGGTTGCACTGGGGGATCTCCAGAGGGCCCTGACAACTCCTGACATGCTGTGATTGCATGAAAAGGAAAATTCTTACCTTCAGTGAACTGTAAAATTCATCCAGCACTAAACTCATAGAACGAGTCAAGTTACTGATATAGGATGTCTCTTGATTCAGGGCATCCTGAAAAGTCTCAAAGTCCTGCATCCATTCTACAGCAAAACTGTGGTCAATGATGTCAGTCTGGAAGGAAAAGAGAAAATTTTCAGAAGTAATGATGGCAAACTCTTAAGTGGAGAAGTAAAACCTTTCCATTTTAAACTTAGTTTCAAAACGTCGGTCTTTTCAAAATATTCAGCCCTGGTCTGAAGTTTTCCAAGCTCTGCTCTTATCAAACCAACTACTCGAACACAGGAAGAGAAGACAAACAACCACTATCCCAGTTTTAAGAATGCACGTTTAGGGAAACAACGGCAAGTCTAAAGGCTTCTATGGTTTACTGGAAAGGCGCACCCAAAACCTGCAAATCTTAATGTTCCTTAAATCTATGTTTTTCACTGCACATATATCAGGTCCTTGGTGTTTTTCTATTCTCATCAAGAGCCAATTTTGAAGCGCTTGTCAAAATTCTTAAAATGCTTTACTTTCTACTGAAGGCAATAAACATCAGATCAAAATGAAGTTTAAAGTTACAAATCCTCGGCCTTGAGCCTACCCTTTCTTACCTAAAACTGATGAAGTCCCATGTCTTTCTGTCTTTCAAAAAAGCCATTTTCTTAAGAGCTAATGACCTTCCCACCTCATGCCTTTCTTCTGCAGACAAAGCTTCACAGCTTATTCTAAAATTACTGCCTGGAGTTGCAAAGAAAGCAGCGTACAAAGTCTTGCTCAGGGAGCAGGCAGGTGTAAAGGACACGTGTGGTTTGGGCGACTGGGAAGATGCTGGGGCACATCAGATACTTGTCCTACTCAGCTGGCACGAGGTAGAATTTCAGGTTCAAGGCATGAGTGCTTCGGAGGAAGCGTGTGGGATACACACACACAAAGCTTGCTATGCTGGGGAGCGATTCCTCGAACACAAAGGATGTCTGCTTAGTGTCACTGATCAGGACCAAACACCTTTTGTTAATTTAGCCTCTACAACAGCTGGGACTCCTTCCTCAACACCGTCCCCACTGCGAGCCACCAGCCTGCTGCTCAGCAGAAATTATTCATGATTAAGACAGTGGTTCTGAGGAAGCAGGGGACTGCAAGAGTGGATCCCATTATGAACTTACCCTTACAAAGTTAACTTTCCTGATAGCCTAGGGTTAAGGAGCAAAACACTTTTCAAATTGTTAGTATAATCTGTAACGTGAATGTTTGGGTGTAACTGCCCATCCCTGATTCCTCTTGTGCATAACAGACTAAGGACCCTTTCAGATTTGGTTTTCAGCCTGCAGCTCCCTCCAGCCCCTCCTTTCCAGAAAACCCATCAGTGCGGTGAGACAAAGACACTACAGCAAAGCCAAGAAACAGAACGTGTTCCACCAGGACACAAACCACAGCTCCAACTTACTTTGTTCATGACAACAATGAAAGGCAGCTTCGTCTTGTACAGGATACTGGAGGTCAGGGGAGGAAAAAACACAGAAAAATTAAGAATTAATGCAAGTCTCGCTTCAAGTTAAGTATAAGGCAGACAAGACTCGTGCAAAACTGAATACATTTGACCTCAAAAGATTAGTATTTCCCTCTGCATCAATAGAACGTAATTTTCACCCAATCCTGCTTACCATGGTTGAACAAAATACAGCCCCTAGGATGTAAGCGCACGTCTGTAAGATATAAAATCTCCTTCTGCAAAACCCAGTTGCTTCTGATTACTGTTTTCTGTGACTCTCAGGCCCCAGTTTTTAACTCTCTTTGCATTTTCTAACTGTTCTGACTCAACCTTTAGGTTCTCAGATATCGTTTGCGAACTGAGCAATGAATTCAAGTAACTCAGAACACCTATAAAGCAAATCTACCTCGAAACATGAGCTTACATATTCATTTCTCTGTACATCCCAGCATCTTTTGCTCAACTCTGGTGTCAGAGAACACAACATGTAATAAGACACGTTTTGCACAGTCCCATCACAGTGATACAGCTTTTGACGCCGATACAAGGATTGATGGGGTTTTTGAAAACCTTTCACGAACATTCAAATGAATTATGACAGCTCTAGATATGTTCACCTTTACATAGCTAATTAGTCCCTGATTTAACTAGAAAGAGAACAGATAAATCCATGTACAAGGAGGGAGAAAATAAATCAAGAGCTCCATGCTATGCTGAGCTCCAAACAAATCTTGAAGAAGCACTGAAAGTATTAACATTTAAAAAATAGGATAAAGTATCATGTGTTTACAGGAAGGAGCTATCTTGATACATTCTAGAGAAATTATTTTACGAGCAACAGGCAATGTGTTAGATCTGATGTAACCATCATCGCACTAAGGTCTCACGCATTATTTAATGCTTGCAGTGGGAGTTTCGACCCAATGACCCCCAGATGTCCACTGGCACCTCAATTATCTTGCTTATCCAGTGGGAAAACCACTAAGACAGAGACTGGCCAAACCAGATCAAGGTGTTATGAGGCATCAGTGCACGCTTGCACCCCAGAAAGGCAATCATGACCTGGGCGCATCAAGAGCAGTGTGGCCAAAAAGGCTGAGGGAGGGGAGGCTGCCCCCCTGCTCCACCCTCGTGAGACCCTGCCTGGAGTGCTGCATCCCACTCTGGTGCATGGCAGACATGGACCTGTTGGAGCAGCTCCAGAGGAGGCCACAAAAACTGAGGACTGGGACACCTCTGCTGTGGAGACTGGCTGAGGGTTGGGGTTGTTCAGGCTGGAAAAGGGGACACCTTAGAGCAGCCTTTCAGTACATAAAGGAGCTTGTAAGAGAGACAGAGAGACTTTTTGATAGGGCATGTAGTGACAGGACAAGGTGCAATGGTTCTAAACTGAGAGTAGGTTTAGATTGGACATAAGGAAGACACTTTTTATGATGGAGTGGTGAGACACTGGAGCAGGGTGTGCAGGGAAGCTGAAGATACCCCAGGATTGGAAGTGTTCAAGGCCAGGCTGGACAGGGCTTGGAGCAGCCTGGGCTGGTGGAGGTGTCCCTGCCCATGGAAGGGGGGTGGGCTGGATGATGGTCCCTTCCAACACAGACCACTCTAAGATTCCCCTCCAAAATAAGTATCAAAGGGACACAGCAATCACAGCAGCTGGACTGCCTTTCCAGCTGTTCTTACCTGCAGGCATACAGCATGTTGGACATAAAGGTGATGGGGTTAGTGCTGCGAGAGGTATCCATCACATAGACAACAACTGAAGGAAACGAGGAAGCCTGTAAATGCAGAGTAAAAGACATTTCAATGGGAAGTAGATGCGGTTCAACCGCCACTTCTTTCACTCTGCCCCACTGTCACAACACACAGAGAACACTTACCAAGGCCTCGGTTATGATGGCTCCTGATGCTGACCAGGTGAACACCTCAATTTGCCCTGGTGTGTCAATAATAACATACCTGGTAAGAAGTCACCCCCGAGAAACAATAAGGGAAAGTTAATTAAGCATAAGATCCTGTTCTGACTAGATTATCACAAGCACGTAACAGCAAATCACACTATCATTACAGATCAGAAAAGGTTCTCCCAAACAGTAACAACATTTATGGACATGCCTGAAAATTTCCTGTGTGTATCTGTAACTAAGAGGCACATATCCTCTTCAGATTATGTTAAAGAATCACAGAATATGAGGAGTTGGAAGGGACCTGGAAAGCTCCCCCAGTGCAACCCCTGCCAGAGCAGGATCACCAGAGCAGTCACACAGGAACACCTCAGGGCTTTGGGTGTCTCCACACAAGGAGACTCCACAACCTCTCTGGGCAGCCTGGGCCATGCTCCAGAACCCTCACACTCACAAACTTTGGCCTCAGCTTCAGCTTGAACCTCCTGTGCTCCAGCTTGGGACCATTGCCCCTTGTCCTGGCATTGGACATCCCAGAGCAGAGCCTGGCTCCTTCCTCCTGACACTGCCCTTTCCCAATGGATCCCCAGGAATGAGGGCACCCCTCAGTCTCCTCTGCTCCAAGCTCAAGAGCCCCAGCTCCCTCAGCCGCTCCTCAGCACGAGATGCTCCCCAGTGTTCACTTCTCCAAGTGATAGCGCTTGTATGGTAAGGAAACATGGCAAGGCCACTGTCTCACCATGGGTGCCGTATCCGCACCTCATCTCTGTGGCCCTGCTGGACTCTTTCAAGCAGTTCCTGTCCTTCTTGACCTGAGGGGCCCAGAACTGGACACAGGATTGCAGATGTGATCTCACCACATCTTTGCCAGAAGAAGGCATCAATTTGACACTTAGTACTGCAAACTCTTCAGAAGAATAATCAACTGTTGCCCATTGCAACAGTGGGTGAGGAAAACCAAGGGTCTAGTGGAAGGTAAGAACTGCAGAACTGGAATCAGCAGACATTTCTTGAACGTATCTGAGAAAGGCAAGTTTGTCTGCTCTAATTCTTTGCCCTTTTCCACATAAAATTTGTACCAGGGCTGAAAAGCAACTAGAACACATGCAGAGAACCTTTTCAGGATTTCATATGGGTTTCACACACTGATTCCAGAAAAGCAGAACTCGGTAGAATGTACTCACTTGGATGCATTTTGTCTTTTTTCAATAAACTTCATCACCTGATTGGAAAATAAAGCATATTTGGTATTCAGGGTCACAACAGGAAACTGTCATAATCATTTCACAATAGAAACTACATTAACTCGGACAGCCGCATGTATGTATCAAAAGAAGAATAAAGTCTCTTAGGCTTTTCAGTTTGTGAAAATGTCCATCTAAGGAAGGGTGGAAAATGCTCAGATGCTGCACAGGTCAAAGACAACCTTGGTTTTGTCTGTGTTCCAATACCTGGCTAAAGAAATGGTGTAACAAATGCAGCTGCTCCCTACCCTTTTACTAAGGGACTGTGCACTGCCTCAATATCCTGCATCACCCACCCCAGCACTGATTTAGTATTGATTTAAGAGAGCAGTCAACTATCAAATAACCCTAGGAGAACTTAATTCGTTTCCAGAAGTAAGCTTCTCTTCTTCAAGGTCAGAGCATTCACGTGAAAGGCTCCACAGTGAGCACAGCGCAAGAGAACGGTTGCGTATGAAGAATAAAGAACGATCTGCACGTGCGGCTTCTAAATTTTACTTTAAAAAAACTGAAAAACTGCAATTTCTCAAATGAAAGCTGATGTGCTTTGGCTGCTTTGTGAAATACATGGTTCTGTATGGGAAATACTCCTAACTCCAGAGAAACGTGAGGAGGCTACCGAGTGCCCTCCAAATACACAAAACACGGGATCTGCAGCACAGTCCCACACAGGAACAGCCTCATACCTGATCAAATCTCGTAGCAAAGAGATTGAGAGAGGTCACTATTCCACCATTCGGGCCCAGCCCATATCTAGATGCATCATTGAGGAAAGCAGACGGTTACATAGACCTCAGAGGGCTTCTTTTTCGGTTCCGGGAACAGCTGCCCACGTACCATGCCCATTGGGTACCTTGCACCAAAAGACAATACCACTAACAAGTAATTAAGTCTCCCAGGTGTTGCAGTAGCATAACAAATGCAAAGTGGTCTTTCTCTTGCCCAAATATATGCGACAGAAGGAAAAGGGGCTACGCCGTGGCTTCCCCTTGCCGGTATTCAAGCATTACCACTCTGGACAAAGACAACGTACACATGTGCATACATCAAAGACATCTTCATCTTTCCAAAAAGATCTACACCACGGCCAGTCACTGCCCTGGATGCACCTCATTTTAAGAATCCATACTTCTTCTGGCTGCTGGCCTCCACAAAGAAAGACACAGCTCTTCAAAAGAGGAACAGAGACAAAAAAGGCGCAGGCAGCGTGCCTATTAACTGCAAAAATGTACTATTAGGCAGAATCACGTTTAGGACAGGAGAAAATGACCTAAGGAGTGTCAAATCTTGTAGAACACACGTTTCTAACCCTCACATGCAAGAAACAGTAAAAAACTTGCAATTTTCATGCAAGATTCTGCATTGCTGCAATCCCCAACACCTCCTGCCCCCTCCATCGTAGTGTGCAGAAGTGACAGGCTTTTCACAGAATCTGAGATTACAAATACCATGATTTAGACAAAATAAAAAGGATACTGCTTCATTACTTCTTTGTACTTCACGGTGTCCCTGATATCTGGAGGAGGAAAACACACAAACAGCTTTAGGAGATCATAACCTTCTACATCAATTTGCTGACAGGTGAAATCCCCTCTTTTTTCTAGCAAGCCTCCCTTTTGTCTCAGCAAGAGGTGTAACACCAACAGGAAAAATCTCCCAAGCAGAATAAATGCAATCTAACAGACTAGCTATGCTCTCAACTTATATATGAAACCCAATGTAATTCACATGAAACACCACCAGTTTAGGTATTTAGCAGTAACTGCCTGAGTTGAATTTTATTTTCAGATCAACATCAGTTTACTTACCCAACTGTATTATCATCGAATCCCAGCGTGGTTTGGGTTGAAGGGCCCTCCCAGCGCCCCAGTGCAACCCCCATGGGCAGGGACACCTCCCCCAGCCCAGGCTGCTCCAAGCCCCGGCCAACCTGGCCTTGGGCACTGCCAGGGAGGGGGCACTCACAGCTTCTCTGGGCAACCTGGGCCAGGGCCTCCCCACCTCACAGCCAGGAATTTCTGCCCAAGATCCAGTCTAAATCTCCCTTCTTCCACGTTAAAACCATTATTACAGATCCAGCACTGGAAGAGATGCTCTAATTAACCATGTGACATCAATAAAACAACTTTGTTATCCACATCGCCCTTCCTTATGCACAGAATTGCTTGGTTGGAAAAGACCTTCGAGATCATCACGTCCAACCGTTCCTGTCTGCCCCCTAAACCATATCCTTCAGTACCTCGTCTACCTGCTCTTTAAACACATCCAGGGATGGTGACTCCACCACCTCCCTGGGCAGCCTGTGCCAGCTTCTGACGACCCTCTCGGTAAAGAACTTCCTCCTTATCTCTGACCTGAACCTCCCTTGGCACAGCTTGGTGCCGTTTCCCCTTGTTCTATCCCCCATCACCTGGGAGAAGAGACCAGCACCCACCTCTCCACAACCTCCCTTGAGGCAGTTGGAGGTGGTGATGAGGTCTCCCCTCAGCCTTTTCTTCTCCAGGCTAAACAAGCCCAGTTCCCTCAGCCGCTCCTCATCAGGCTTGTTCTCCAGAGCCCTCCCCATCCTTGTGGCTCTTCTCTGAACACGCTCCAGAATCTCAACATCCTTCTTATGGTGAGGGGCCCAGAACTGAACACAGCACTCGAGGTGCGGCCTCACCAGTGCCGAGTACAGGGGGATAATCCTTCCCTTATCCTCTGGAGAGACAGGCTGACAAACTTTGGGAAGCTTAAGAGACAGGACCCTCACAAACCTAATGACTAGTAAGCCCTTTGAAACAGGGAAACATAAGATTTGTTTTATTGTTAAGGCATTTTCTTTAAGCTTCATGTCTTCTAAAGTGCTTTAGAGAAGTTATTTGATAGCACTTATGGCTACCATTGTTCTTCATGTTGGGAACAGCTCAAACTGCGGCTACGTTCATCGCTGACAAACAAACCACAAGAACCCAGGCACATCAAAATCACACCACGTAAAAAAAATGTACAGATGCAATGGAAGGCCTTTAGTCCCCAAAATTCACATGTTAAAGACCGATAGGAGAAAGGACTTAAAAGGACGTAAGGACTCAACGGATTGCCCAGGGCTGTGGTGGAGGGGCTCAAAAACGTGTTGATGTGGCACCTGGGGACATGGTTTAGTGGCCAGAGTGGGGCTGGGCTGATGGTTGGACCGGATGATCCTAGAGGGCTTTTCCAACCTTAGCGATTCTATGAAACTTAAGGAAAAAAATCGTAAAAGTCTTTCTTGTGTTAGGACGCAGAATCTCTTAAAGACGATACAAGCAGCCTGGCCAAAAGTCTGACACACCCCAGTCCTGCCCCCTCTGCGAAGCACAGGCCGAGCAGAGCGGCAAAGGCGGGTTTATTTATTTATTCCCGGCACAACGCACTCGCTCTCTTCTGGCGGACCGCGCCCGCCCCGGCGGCACTCACCGATGTTGGCGGGGAAGGGCAGGTCGCGCACGGCCGGGTCCAGGTTGATCACGTACGGGGGGCT